TTAGCCTTTGGGCCTGAGAGAATTGGGCTTTTCACCTCCGTCACATCCCCCCATAGCTTAGATGTCCTCTGGGGAACAACCTTTGCCATATTGGGCTGCGCACTGATGGGAGGTGGGGGTGGAGCGGGAGGAGGAATAACAAAGCTGTCTACAGTTTCTTCAATTAGCGCATCCTTGTAAAGTGCATTGCTTTTGTTGATTATGGGCTTCATTTTTGGCTTAGGAGGTACTGGGGGTTTGTCCACCAGAAATGTTTGCCCATCTGCATAGACTGTACAAGTATCCACGTTCTCGCACCCTTCCGAGGATAAGGTAGAGATGCTGGACACCGTTGAGATAGTGCTGGTTGTCTCTAAGTGATGGTCACTACTACTCCGACTGTCTACCTCCTCAATCCCAGAGTCAGTGACGTTGTCAAAGCTATCAGGGGGTGGCAGAAAGGAGGCAGGCAAACAGTTTGAAAGACCCACTTGCTTTTTACTGTCTAAAGAATTGGTTGGCTGGCTGGTGACGAATGGCGCAGGTGAAGGTGTGCCGTTTTTCCTTTGCTTAATCAAGTCCGTGAGAGCTGAAGCGGGCACCGAGCGGTCGTCAGGGATGTCAAAGCTGTTGGCAAACTCTAAGGGGGGTGGTAGTGGCTCAGTAAAAATAAATTCTTCATCAATATCAACTGATGCTAAGGGTGGTGGGGGGATGCGGAAGGGCAAGATGACTGGGTCGTCGACAGAGCTCGCCGCCACAATGGTTTTGCAGGGAGATGCCGGTGGCTCAGGCACAGCAGGCACGTTCAGCTCACTTTCAGCTTCCTCGCTCCCCTCTGGCCTCTCTGTCAGGGAGTTTTCGGGGCTCGGTTCCATTTCAGCTCCCTTTTCCTCTTCATCCTCAGGTGTATCATCCGACTTTGCCGTGTCCACGGTATGAACCATTAATAAGCCAGCTGACTTCTGCTGTGAAGTATCCACAATGTTTATCAACATGTTTTTCTTCTCTTCAGCCTTCTTTTCTTTCCCTGCATCTGTTTCATACTTGTTCTCAGTCTCCTGCCTTCGTAGTGGACCACGAGTATTTTGCCTAGAGACAGTAGCAGTAACAGGAAATGTCGTTTCAATATTGGGTCTCAGCTTTGTATCGATGTAAAGTGGTTTATTAAGGTCAGCCTTAACAGTGTCCACTTTGCCTGGAATCTGCTGTGTTTGTTCTTTCATGGCTCTGTCCCTGGCAGAGAGAGCGAGGGCTAGCGGTGAGTTTGGATCTAGCAGCTTTCCTGTGACCGGGTGAACGTAATTATCGGAGGTGGATGCATTTGTGGACTTAGCTGCCGCTGTACTGTTTTCAGTACCCTTCGTTTTGGACGAAGTATTTAATGTCCTTGCATCGCTTTGATTGCTGGGATCACTGCTATTAAAAAGATTTTCAGGCTCTCTAGGTGCAGGAATTGGAGATGGTGACATAAGCTGCCTAAAGCCATCTTCACTACTAAACATTGCTTCATCAGTAAATTTAGATTGCCTCATACGTGGTGTTGGTGGTGTTAGTCCAACATCTTCATCTCCTAGGTCTGTGGAGAGGAAGGCTGGAGAATTACGCCTTGCTTCCAGCCGCTTTTCCCTGTCCCTCACTGCTCCAGCAATGGCTGCTGCAAATGGACTGCTGACACCTAAACTGTCATCAGGTCGGAGTTGCCCAGGTTGTTCTGAAGACTGAGGGTCAATTTCCATGCTGCTCCCTTGGCTGCTCTTCCCGCTGCTGCTGGTGGACGGCTCTTTCACAATAATTGTGGGGATTGGAATAGAGCAGGTCTTTTCTGGACTATCTTCAACATTGGATTGTTTAACTAGCATCCCCTTCCGCCTTGCTGGTTTGGCCGGTACATAAACTGCTTTGCTTGCAATCTTCCCAACCTCAGAATATGGGTTTTCAGGCATCTGACCTCTTTTGTTCCTGAAATTTGCCTGAGCTGTGGCACTCCGACTGTACAGGTCCTCAGAGTCCAGAGAGTAGCGGTCCAGTTCTCGTCTGTAATAGATCCCTTTGTCCCTCATCATTGTTCCCACATTTTCAGGCCTAACCAAAGAAATTTTTGCACCTGAATTCTGATTAAATGGAGGTTTGATAGTTCCATAGCTCCTTGACGTTGGGGATTTGGGAGCGTTGTACAGAGAGGGAGAAGGTGGTGGTGGTGAAGGGGGTAAGGACTGCGGTGGTGGAGGGATATCTTCAGAGGTGTCAGGCATTGAAAGACTTCTGGTAAACTTCAGCATAGGAGGAGCCAAAAACTGCCGTTCTTCCTCTGTTATTCCTAAAAATCAGAAAGCATATTGAAACACTGCCTTCCACTGGAATCCCTCATATTGTACCATCTCTGTAGCCAGCCTAAAATGCAAGGGTGTAATTCACATGGCACGAGGCCTGTATGAAATTACAAAAATGGTCTTTTGCCTCATTCAAACAATAAGTATTTTTCTTGTTGAAAAGAGAACCAGAGACCAGATGCCAGAATTAAAAAGGATGCTACAGAATTTTAATTAAACTGATCATTCATGTGTAGGCAAATGTTTTGTTTATGTATCATCAAGGTAGCTGTAGAGAAGCACATTTTCTTCCACAATTATTGAGGAGGGAAGATGTTCTGAATGAAAAAAGAGCTTATGCCTGGCTCTAGTGATTTCCAAATGCATAAAATAATGCAACTTAGAAACCTAATGAATTTTTAAGATGCACTGAAACTTAGCAAAGGGACTGGGAAGATTCTACTGGGAAAAAAATCATATGGGTTTATTTCAAAAGATGACATTACATTATTACAAATATGGCTTTTAACATAAATAAACTCGATAATAGGAGAATTTAGAAGGCCAATTTTACATCAGTGTAATGTGTTTTTAAACTGAGAAATATCACTACTAAGATTACCCAGAACAAAACAAGTTCAAATTTTATTTGCTCTTTTTTTTTTTTTTTTTCCTATTTTGTTTAATCATTAATTGACACAATTCTTTGGAATGAAATGGAAGTGATGTTTATTCCCTTTGATCAATAAGGATTACTTTGTAAATGACTACACAGCATTACAACACTTCTGTCTCAACAGCAAAATAAAAATGAATAACATTTTGCCCTAGGTAATACTCTGCAATAATATTGGGGGTTTTTTTGGTTTTTTTTTTCTTTCTCACTATTGTTTTTGGATAAAGGAAATATTTTAAAGAAAGGAATTAAATCAGAATTCCATAACACTTGCCTACTGCTATTAAAGCTATATGTAGAAATTAAACAAAAACTTATTTTTCCAGGAACTTTTGTATAAAGAAAAAATAAAATCATTCACTGAAGAAAAGGTGTTAGAGAAATATGCTTTAAGAAAGAAAGTACAAAAAGAGGTGAATTACTAAAAGAGGTGAATAATGCACAAATGAACTATGCATGAGGAACATTTTACCTATAGATTTTTGTCTTCTCATTGTACCCCGAGGTATACCCAGAAAAGGACCTTGTGGACTCCCTGGTACAGTGGGCGTCATCACAGCAATACCCTGTCTCTCATACATAGACTACAAGAAAGCAAACAGAAGAACCCACAAGCATTAAAGAATGCAGAACTTTCTCCCACATGTAAATAACTGTCCACTCACATCAACTAATCCACTACCTAACCCTCTTAGGAATTCTTATGGAGAACAGCAAATTTGCTGTTCTTCGAAGAAGGATGCAAAGAGAAGGGGAAGGCTGAGATTTACTTATATGTTAATGAAATGACAACAGTTGTAAGTAGATTTAGTTGAAATTATTTACAAGGCAATATGTTAAGTTTACAGCACATTTGGTGTGCTGCGAGAAAGGAAGCCTGAGCAATTGCATTTCATTTCACTCACTTCCAAAACATTGCCACACACTGCACAGGTACTAATGCTCACTTTCCACCAGGCCATACACTCTCTTCACGACTGAGCGACAGACCTACTCCCTGGGTCTTGCACAGATGGTGCCTTGCACAAGGTTACATAGAAAGACAGATCATCACCTAGGAACTGCAGAATGTCCCCTGAATCCCAATGCACTCAACTGCCCTTTAACATAGGTTATCACACAACTATCTGTTTTCCGTCATGAAACAGTCTCTATTTTCTTCCTTCCTAAGCTACTGAGAACACCAAAGTGCTTGTATCAGGGCTGGGGCTGTTTCAGAGGGGTGGGCAATGGAAAAGTACATCTAAAATGCAAGAAGAACAATTTTTTTTTCACACATAAGTTCTGTCAAAGTAAATTCTACAATTGAGGAATCCAATTGCAGAGGTCTGGAAATTAAATTTTTACTATCCACTATAGTACTAATTCTTCCCCTACAAATCATCATATATTATTTCATCAAGATATTATGAACAATAAAAAAAACGAACTTGTAGAAACCTTCACATTAGTGGAAATTGTGTGGCTGCACTAATTCTGGCATTGAAACTGAATTAACATACTTCAATTTTCAGTGACTTTTTTTTGTTGTTTGGCCTTAGTTTTGTACTGACACTTTCAAGTTAGAGCTTACTGTTATCTCACTGGCTGACATTAAGGACAGAGTAAGGTCACTTACTTCTGTTTCAGTAACACCAAGATAGCAATGTTGTTGAAACGACAATCTCAGAGTAGATATAAGAATACAACAAAAGTTTTTAGGAGCCCAAAGGCTCTTCTGTTAAATGAATTATTATCAGAAATATAGATCAAGGCTACAAGGTAATAAAATCAGCATGAGAACATAATGCATTTTTTAAAAATTCATTTCTATTGTGGTTTAAACTTTGTACAATAGCAAGTACCCTTTCCACACAGTTTCAGAAGCGAAAGCAGTACTTTGTAGCTACCACTCACATTCATATCTGTAGCTGAGGGAAAACATCTACTAGAAGGCCGCTGTTTAATAGTTGCCACTCTTGAATCCACAGTTGCATTGTCTGCAATTCTTGATGGCTTGGAAACTGGTACTATTTCATCCACTTTATCTGTAATATAAAAGTATTCAGTAAAATAAATATCATTTGTCCAAAACGTGAAAAATTAAGTATTGCAAGGTCAAAGGAAGAGATTTACTTTTCAAAAAAAATGCAAAGAAAAAGGTTTTTTTTTTTTTGGCATTTTAACAAGGCAATGCTTGAGCATCATAAGTCGTGCAAGCCGAGCACTTTTTATTGCTGCTGCATAACATGCATGCTTTAGTTTTAAGCCTGCATGCATTTAATGTTTACTTAGTGTGACTCGAAAAACAATCCTCTTCTTCAAACCTTCAAAATGTGAAGGGACAATATCTATATAGAAATGGAAAGAAGACCTTTAGAAATAATGAAATCTGCAAAGAACTGTTTCAAATAGAGATAAGCAGACTGTACTTAGTCATCAGAATTTCAGAGATATTTTGGACAATAACAAGTACTCTAGAAGTGCTCTTTTATGCCTATTTTCCTCAATTAATCATGTCTAACCTATATGATTTTGGATTATAAGATTAGCATTATAAGCAACTGCGTCATTCTTTAAATGAAATTTGAATATTTGTTTTTTTTAATTATTATTATTTTATTAACTTTGGGAACATATTTAGCTGTGGTCAGAAACAGACCAAACAGTCAAAGTCCAAATCAGAATGACAACTTCAACATTTGGATTTGGGATTCTAATTTACTGATTCACATGGCATGACGATAAAATACAGGGAAAAATCTTTGATTGAGATCTTCTGAACTTAAGAGCATTTGCTTTAGCCCCAGTTCCAACTGTGGTCACAAACAAGATTCATCAGTGTTTATTACATTCCTTAGACTGAGGACCTCCAAGCACCAATCAACTAATTATAGCCTTACAGCTCCTTTATTGCTATTTCTACTACTACAAAACTAAGGCATGGAGAAATTAAATGAGTAGCCCAAGCCAGCAGAACAGTTTGATTTCTGAACCTGTACTAGAATCCAAACTCAGACCATACCAACAAGTTTCCTTTCTACGCCTTTCAACATGTTTGCCTCCCTAAGAAAAAACGGACTGCACCATATTGATTATTCTGTACTTAATTATCATCTTAATTTAGTGTCTTTTCCTTTGAAGTCTCACCAGAGTAGAGATCAGTTATATTGGCTGTGATACTTATATAAATGGAATATCTTAGCCTGGCTACTAGGCTTTCACAACGTGAGCAGGAGCACTGTTAATTTTCAGCAATTAGATCCACCTCCCAAATGTTCGATTTTTATTTCAGCAGAAAAGGGTATCTACTCCATTAGGTTATTACAGACTGAAAAAAAAAGCAGGCTTTTGGCAGTCTACAGATGATGCTAGTCTGCAAAGCATCAGATTAAGTGATTTAAGCTTTACCTCTCACTGGAGAGCAGCATGCTCAGGGCCCTGGATATGGATATGGATGGGAATAAGGCAGGAGGAAAAAAGTTTTTGGTCCCTCTAAACAGTAGATCTTGCAGATGCAAGGATGACATTTTAAGCAGGAGAAGAAGAGAGGGAAGAACTTTTAGCCCTCTGGTTAGAAAGCAGGTTGTCCTAGGAGTGGTTATTTTAGTGTGACAGAGGGTCAGGGAGCAGGCAGGAACGGAAAGATTGAGGAGAATCAGAACACTGTTGAAAACTTTTTCACAAGTGTGATGTTGCTGTTTCTACTCAATTGAAGTTATCGTTTGACTTTTTTTTTTTTTTTTTTTTTTCCATTGGTCTGCTTTATTTCTGAGTGTTTAAAATCATTTGGTGAAAGGAAGAAAAAAAAATCTTAAAACCATCACATGTATTCAAAAATAAAATAAACTTCAAGTCACATTTCATAAGATTTTATAATACAAACTTTGACCTTCTGAAGGAAAAATATCTGCACTTCTGCTCAGCAAAAGGCATCATAAAGCAACAGTGTCACCATTAACATTTGACCTATACAACAAAAATATGGCTAGACCGTAAAACTGTACTTAGGGGATCTATCACCAAGAGCTTCAAGGGTGGAGAAATTTCATTTTAAGTCTTTCCCACCCTTTTTTATCATCCCAGAAGGCCTAAAAACTGGTCTTTGGGATAGAGAGAGAAGGAAGTTTGTGAAAATGAGGCATTAGGTACTCAAAATCTGTAAATAAGAAATATAAATATACCATGTAAGAACAAGGATCCCCTTTTATTTTAACAGACACATGTAACCATATACCCATTCAGACAACAAAAAGCTACAGGGAAAGAGTGATGAGGCTATGACAGACACTTGAAAAGCATGAAAATATTTGTTTGGGGATGAAACATACATACTCTCCAACTGCACTGATTTTGCTAGACAACACTATAAGTCAGATCTTAATTTAAGATCTGACCAAAATATCAGTTGGTACCAATTATTAATACCACCTACTACTTCCAGCTGGAATAACTTCATTCTGTGTGAGTTTATTGCAGGTTTCTTGCCTGTGGACATGTTCTTAGTCACTCTCACCCTATAATTGCTCCCATTCAAGTGGTTTTGGGTCTTTCCACATCTAGCTAAAGCAGTGAGCAACGGGAGAGATCAGGTGACAGCTTAAGCTGCTTTGCAAGGAACTCTTTAGGTGTTCCTCAGGCAGTTTTTCCAACAGCAGCACTACTGCATCTGCGCAGCAGATGTCTTTGATTTTCTCTGCTGTCTTTGATCCGAACGCAAAGGTAGAGCAGAGGGTGCGTTTTCAAAACTACAGTGGAATGCAATTTATTCTAAATGGCAGCAGCTACATGGCGGGTCCTGCAGAGTACGTCAAAATCTTACTTAGCATCTGACCACACTACTGCACCACACTTTTGAAGTGAAAATACTACGTAAAATAAAAACATTCTCACTGTATTATCAGACACACATTAATTAGGCCAAGAAAATTAATTGGCTGATTTGTATTCAGCTTTGTTCAAACTTATCCCAAAGAAATAAGATGTAAGCATATTGGGACAAACTTCCACTTGTCTTTGCCTTTAGCTTAGCTGTTCATATTCACAGTACCAGTGTGCAAACCACGTATGCACCAGAAACACGTGTTCAGAAGGCCGCACATACTGGACTAATTTCTCAGAGCTCACTAATGGGCTTCTCTCCCACATCTCCTTCTTGTGATCTTAAATATTCGGCAGCATGCGCTTCTTGTATCAATGAGAGGGGAATCTTACAAGCTTGTACTGGAAATTCTCTGAGGATACATTTACAAACAGTTTTAACAAAAAGAAGTATATAAAAAAGCCATGGAAGAGGTACAAAAATTTGCACCTTGTGTAAAGTGTGTCAGCAGTGTGACTGAAGAAGAACGCCTCCAATGGTAGTCTCAGAGGGAATGCGGCTGGATGTAGGTGGAAGGGAAGAAATATTCTTTACTGCAAAGAGCCTACACTGGAGGTTGGCCATGCCAGCTGCATTTCATCATTAAACCATTCATTTTACAATGTACAGCCACAAGCACGCACGCACACACACTTATAAGGGAGCAATCTGTGGCTGACTGGTAGAATAACAAAATGTTGTATGTGCTTTATTTTGATTAACTTCAGTCTCAGAGAAAGACGAGAAAGAAGAGGCTATGGCTCACTGGACAGAGAGAGCACCGTTCAGCTGTATTCACAGAAGAGGATTTTTAGGCCTACAGTTATTTTCTAGTATTTGCCAAAGGAGGAATTCATCACTGCTTCGCCATATAAACTCCTCTGAATCTTTACAAAATGTTACAAAGATATGTGGAGAGTCAAACACAGGAGCCATGCTACACCTGTGATCATTAGTTACCACGCTCAAGGGACTCCTGGTAACAGCATCCTTCCAGAGAACTGTCAGGGATACCACATGGATAAGCCAGTCTGATGCCTCTGCATGCATATAGCAATTTGAGTGCCACTATATTAAATTCCCCCGAGAGAGGCAGCACCAACAGATATAAAATAATTTATTGCAAAGTGCATTTCCATCTGCCCTGTGGGTTACCAATTGCACCCGTGTTCTACTCAGGGTGCCAGCCCTCAGGAAATTAGATGGCCTAAAGGCACAGAAAGTAGTTGTATTTTATCAGCACGTAGGTCATTTCTGATGAAAAACTCTTAATCACAGACATAGTAGCACAATACCCAACAGCATGTCATGACATTTACATTCTCAAGAGGTCTGGCTGCTAGGCAAGTTTTTTTTTTCTTTTTCTTTTTTTCTTTTCATTTTCTTAAATAATTAATATCTGTGATAATTACAGGGGACAGTCTCCTCCCACTAGATTTGGTGAAGGAGATGGTTCTTATCCCCAAGAACACATTGCTTAGTGACTCCTGTTTCAAATCCCCCGACTCTCTCAGAGGAAAAATAATGCTGCCCATCCAACCACCAGATCCATCGTAAAAGGAACTTTGAAAATGAGAGTCAGGTACCTAGATAGATCTGGTGGCATATTACTGTACAAGCCCCAAAAGATAAATATGAGGTATGATCCTGGCAACATTACTTCTAATAAGACATAGCCAAGACACGTGGATTAGCTCCACCGAGGGTCTTAGAAAGTGAGCTTGTCAGACCCACAGAGGATAAGAATGATCATGATCCAGTACAGGCTAACCCCAACACCTCAGGCTGGCATGCCAGAAACACCAGGCAAAGACTGATCGAACACAGTTTTGGAGGCGAGTATTGCCAAGACCTGTATACTTACCACCAACTCCAGAATGCTTGCTCAGAGGGGATGGGATAATGGAGAAAGAAAACTCAAAAAACAGCTGCCTCAAGAAATGACTTGTATTTGTAAGAAAAGCAATGAATGCCTGGCACAGAGTAAAAAAATGCTTGTATGAAGTTAAAGTGAAAGAACAGAGGCAAATGTTCTTCAAATACCAGCAGCACACATTGTTAACAGTGCAAATATAAACTACAAAATGTTAGACTAATCTAGTCAGCCAGAATACAATGTTAGCCAATGTAGGAAATGGTTGAAATCTGCCACTGATGGCCTTATGGCTAAGAATTAAAAGGACAGGCACATTAAAAAAAACCCTAAAAATCCTACGGTGTGGTTATTTTTTCTTCCCTCCCCCTTTTGCCTGGCGTGTAGGCATGGGCAACGAGGCCCTCTCGGTTATGGCTCTCTGCAGCCGGCCACTGCGACAAGGCAGCGTGGCCTGCGGCGGTTCTCGAGAGTCGCTCGTCCCTTCGGCCCCTGGTAAGCACACAGTGGAGGCTGCCACTGCGTCCTCACCAGTCCATGTCGAGGCACAGGTTAACTCGACATGGGGGGTGGCTCTTTGGGAGATGCGTGTTTCAAGGACCTGCGTCCGTGGCTGCTTGAGAAAAGCTAAAATCTCTGACAGGTAGTTATGGATGGCTCTTGTGGAGGTAGCCACAATGCCCAGCTGCAGCTCCATGCGGCCCATGGACTGTGACATGAGACCCATGGACTGTGCATGCTCCCTCTTGATATTTTCCAGCAGCTGCACAATCCTACTGTTGGTTTCCATCAACAGCTTCTCTCCCTCTGTTAGCTGGGGCTGCCCTCTCCAACCCCGATCCCTAGGGACAGGCTCAACACCGCGGTGCTCTTCATTCATCTCATCATTGCCCTCCTCCTCAGGAGAGTCACTTTCAAACTGAGGAGTCCTACTGAGTGACTGATCCCCGGGAGACTGTATGTCCATGGTACACTCCGGAGTCCGCGCTGGCGTTTGAAATCCCTCAAAATCCTCCCCAACGTTGCTGTGCGTTTCAGACGAGGACAACGGCCACTGCCAGCTCTCTGTGGTCCTGGCCGGCGAGTCTTCGTCAGAAGCAGGCACCGAGGATTCCTGTTCTTCAGCCGGCGTGGACGGCGAGCTCCCTCGGAGACGGCCAGCTTGCCCCGAGGATCCAGGAACCTCCCCATCTTGTTCCCCAGTGACATCTGGCAATCAAATAGAGGAGCAACAACCACTGTATCTGAGGCCAGGCAGATGGAGGTATCTACATGCATTGGACAACACATAGAAAGAAGCCAGTTGGGAAGCCAGAGTGTATGTGTTTGGGCAAACGGAAGGGCGGGCTAAAGTTTAATGACTGCATTGGGCAAGTGGCAGTTGACATTATTAACTGCTCTTCGTATAAATGCACACTGTCCTGTACCCACAACACACACAGCCATGCTGCATCCCAAGGCAGGAGCTACCAATTCACCTCATTGTGACTGTGACAGGAAATGTCAGTGAACCTATCAAAAAGCTCACCTATGCACTGCAGTGGTGTCAGTCAGACATCCCTGGGATGAGCTCAGGGCCAAGTGTCCAAGTGAGCTTCCTGTGGTGTCAGACGTGCTCCACCACTGGTTGAGGGCAGCCCTTTGTTGTTCTGAAGCACTGCTGGCTATCTTCACTTTTGTCCGACGTCTCACGTCACCCCCACCCCTAAGTGCATTCTCTCATAAATCACTGCTGCGAGCGGTGGTGGCTGTCCACAGCATTCATCCTGTGAGCAATGCCCTCCCCCACATCTGCTGGATTTTCTTGTTCTTTTCTCCAAAGAGTAAGTAATGGTATCTGAGGGCATTGCTCTCCAGGATCTTATTGTCTTCTGAAAATAAGTAAGCTCTGCCCTTCCCTGTCTACTTCTCCCCTTGCCTGAGGGCATATGGTGGAAATCAGGGTGCAAGTGATTCCCCACGGCAGTGTTATGCCTACTCTCTTATCATCTCAGTCTTGAAAAATGTCATTCTGTAAGGATTCATTTCTGCTCTTTGAAATACTTTATATGCTGCTCTTTGGACCTCAGTATGAAGCTGCGAGCTTACATCTGGAAGGTATTGCTGAGGTCAAGTTAAAATAATACTCCTGGTTCTGTTTATGAGTCAGGGTATGTTTTTGTTTGTTTTGTTGTGCTTTTGTTCTTGTTCTTACGGGTTTTTTGTTGTTGTTGTTTTATATAGTTTTAAAATGAAAGCTCCTTCTGATAGACCCAAGGATCCCTTCTCCTCTATATCAGTCCCTGCCTACCCTAACTCTAATGTGGCAATCTTAATTTCTGTGCTCAAGTACGTTCAATATTATACTGCTCTAAAAGGGATTCTGTGCCGCATAATGTAATTACGATCTTTTAATGCTAAAGTCACAGATGTTATTTATGCATTTAACTTATTCATTACTTCAAAGTATTCACATTCAAAGTATTCACACTATGTCTCTATCTAGTTTACTGTCCAGTTGCATGTTTTATGGAGAGTGAGGATGAGATTGTATTTATAAAAAGGCATGATTTCCTTATGAAAATGGATTTTAGGGACAAACTGTCATGCAATCATTGGCTCTTCTACTCTAAAGAGATTTAAAAGGGACTATATCAACGTATCTGCAATATCTGCTTCTTCCTTTGCAGTTCTTTTCCCCCTTTGCCTTACTAATACAGCCATAGCTGCAATTCGTCATTAGCAAATCTCTCTTAACAACTATACTGTAAGACTATGAAGTTATTTCTCAGCATTTTCTTATTTGAGCACACATGTAATAAAGAAAGAAAAGAAAAGAAAAAAAATCAAACCAGGGGATCTATTTTTACCACACATAACAAACACACATTTCAGTTGAATTCTACGGAATTGGAGAAAGAAAATGAGTTATAAATATATTCATTCTGGTAAATACAGTGGTCATACAAAATGCCCTTGAATTTTTTTTAGATATATCATCAGAAAATTCCCCATATTTGAAAACTCCATTTTCCTGACATGATCTAAACAGAGCCCACCTAGCAATTGGTAAGTAATAGAACTAAACTAAACTAAAAGTCAAAAATTGAAACAAAAGAAAAAACTCAAAAATCCACATTAATTTATGAGTATTTCTGTAAATAGTTTCACTGAGGAAAGATTGTTCAGATTTAGGGGGACAGTAACACTTTTGTTATTTGTGCATGTTTACACATTTGCCAGAGGCTTGTGAAGAAAAGTTTACCTGAAAAAAGTATAATACTCTTTTGCAAAGTCCCTAATTCTCTATGAAAGAGTACCATTTGCCAATCCTCCTAATCGATACTCTCAGCCTTCAGGGCTAAAGAAAAAGCATCTGGCAACGGTGACCAATAACACAAATGACAAAGAGTCCAAGCAAACAGTCTGTGAGAACCCATGGGAGAAAGTTAACTGTGGAAACTATTGGCGAATACTTATGAATAATGAATACATTCACAGGTTTTAGCATACGCTTGTTAACTTGACTAGCAAGAAATATTCATTAACTGCTATTATACATCACAAAGTACAATTCTAGTCACTTTGTCTTCTGGAAGCTTTGTGAAGCATTGTCATGGGCAGAGGAGAAACCAAGGGCGTGTTACAGGCATGGTCTGACACAAACTATGTTCACTGCCGAGCAACAATGGAAATCTGCCTCAAGATCAATGGCTGACACCGCAGTGATGAATGTGTCAGTCTCTGCCCAATAAATCCATTTCCTGATGATCAAAAGTCACCTTACATTCTTGTTAAGGTGATGGCACCAGTTGCTATGTCAGTGCTGTGGAAAAGTTGTGCCAGTTACATACAGTAGGGCACTGGAAAACTTTGTTTTTTCTGTAAACGGTCCTTATCCAATGAAGAAGCTCTCTGTTTTAAACAGCAGGATTAAAGCTGGCTGAAACCATTACCTCAACCAATTGCCTTCACCTCACTCCCTTAGCAAAGTGGGTCTTAAAAAGTAAAAAAATAAGGAGAGAGCATTAAGACAGCCAAGTCAAAATCGACTGTGTATTCTCCAATGTATTGACATGGTTGACCTTGCTTGGCTGTTAATTGGCTTTAAAAACGATCTCTCCTTAAAAATCAAACTTAAAAAACAGTGGGTACAAAGAAGCACAACTAGCTTCTTCAGGTGTGAAGCAAATTCCATTCCATTCCATTCCTACCTACAGAATCTTGCTCGCAGTGACACATAAAACTTTCAGACCAAATACATGAGCTTTGCCTTTTTATATTTATGCCTAGTAATTAGTCAAAAAACTAACAGTCTTTACAGTTGTGACTTGTTTTATGTTTCTAATTTAATGTTCCTTGCTCTGTTAGGGCATGATTTCCAGTTGGGTCCTTAAATGATCAAGTAAGGGAACCAGAAAGGAGCATGCATATGAAGTAAAAGAAATGCAAAGATTTCAAAGTCAGTGACCCATCACACTTTAGCTTCATTGCTTGATCACTGTACAATATAGATATTTCCAAAAGTAACATGGGAATTCAATGCTTCTGAAGGCTTTTTTCTCCTTTACCTCACCGATTTTGTCATATTTAATCTGTTTTTAAATTGGTTCCTGTAAGAGTTACTAGGGAACCAACATCAAAGTCCTAACTATCTTCCTTTCTTTCCTGCTGTCAGACAAGTCTTCTGTTTCTGCAGCACAGCTGGCTGCCTGTAAGGGTGTTTGCACTGGGCAGATACTGAGCTTGGTCTGATGTGGCTTAACAGTGGTGCAATTGCTGCTGGTGGCCACAGGAGAGCTGCTCTGAACATGGTGGCTAGGATTATGGAGCCTCTGGGTGCATGAATACATTCACCATTTTGAAGCATGGCTACACCATGTTGTCTCCTTGAGACACAGGATTCAGTACCATTCTTTCCTAATGACAGTCTTTCAAGTTCTTAGACATATATAGAACTGTAGAGGTTATCTGGTTGAGATACATAGAGAATTGAACAACTGATTCAACTACAGGGATAGAAGACCAAGACAGAGGCCAAGAACAGAGCAGGGCTTTGGATATAGACAAGCTTTAGAGACATCAGAGATATTTCTTTAACTTTTGTTCACTGAAGAACATTTGCGACTTATGCCTGTGTTGTGCCTTACCTGCCACTTGGACTGGCAGTTGATCCCTCCCCTGAGATGTGCTGTTCTTTAAGAATCCCTCCTTTTGAAATCCCACCATTTCTGTTTCACCTCTGCTACTGGACCGTTGCCTTTTCCATTTACATCTCCTTTTCAGATTCCCCACCAGTGGAGCTGGACGTGAGGGGTGGGGTACCGTCTTCCTGCTGACAGGTAGGTGGAGATGTTCCTTGGCCACAAGTGGGCCAGGAGCTCAACAACAGCGGTACCACAGTTGGGGAGCTTCCTGGGACCTGCCTCTGCTGCTCTGGACCTGGGCCTCTGCCTGTATCTGCATCATGCTTCCTGGGGTAGGTGCATTTTTCAAACTGCTTAGGTACCAAGGTGATAGATGCCTTGTAAATACCTAAGATAGATACAGACAGAAACTGTACCAGGCACAATCTGTTATGCAAAACTTAATACAATGCCAGTTGCACCTATACGATGTAGTATCACCCACCTTTTCTAGCATCTGCAGTCAACCACAGTCAAATATTTGGCCCATGAATTTTTCCTTTTGAAAAGTGATGGAAACACAGGATATTCATTCTTCCTTGGTGTCAACCGATCTAGAAACTTAGGCTGTAATGTCAGGTACTGCATATGCACATACTTTGTTTCCACTGCCTTCCCTAAATGTGAGTGTGCAAGCTGAGTTTAATTTCTTTCATTAACCAGTACAGTTTGTTTTTCTTTGTCAATTATCTGTGAAAATCAGACACTAAAACTAAAGGAGTAGTCTTATGTGTGAATATTAAAAATGCATTTTATCATTTTTTATAATTATTATCTCTTTCTTTTAAGGTTTAACTACCAGCAATCTGTTTTTAGCATAAAGACCAGAAGCTGATATGTGTTAAATTACAAGTTTGCATGCACAGAAAGAACATCTAAAACAAGTAGGTGCTCTCATACCCATTGCATTCCTTTCAGATTTTTGTAACTTCCCATACAGAGGCAAATGACTGCCTTTCTTAGTTTGTTGAAGAATGATAAATACTTGATAAATATTTCAGGAAGAATGCCTCTGTTCTGAGAGGAACTGTGTAAAGGAAATTTGGGCAAACATACAGGAATCTAGACAGTGCTTTCAAAGAAGCAGATGAACAAAATTCTGGAACAGCTGTCCAATACCAATGGGGGAGCAGCATCAAGATAAGAATCTACTAATTTCAAAAGCAAGCTTGATTGGACTACAGAAGCTCATGTGATCATGTTGCTTGTCATAGAAGCAACTGTATGTGATGAATAAATCTGTAGTGTCTGCAGAAAAATGGATTACGTATTTGAAAATGGTTAAAAAGGAATCACTGTTGCATTAGCTATGCCCACTGAGAACTAATTTTTTTTTTTCCTAGTTATTTGAATGTGAACAGAAAAAAAATCAAAGACTAAAAGTAGATAAAGTATAATTAGATCCCCAACATATCACCAAGAATTAAGAGGCCAACCACAGTTAAATAATTGTTTCAATGGAAGAGTATTCAAGGTCAAGATTTTAACCCAAACTTGTTTATGATCAAATTTGGAGGAAACAAGTTGAGCCTATGTCACCTAAGCGTTATTAAAAAAAAAAACAAAACATACAAACTAAATGATCTGAGTTTCCAGTTAGAACATCACACTAATACTCAGGAACCTGTCACCATGAACACATTTCAATCTGGAATGAAGTTGATCCAGCCCTGGTCCAAACAAACAATTTACAGGACTGTGCTCAACTCACAGCATCAAAATCACATGTTTTTCATATTGCAAGTAACAGGAAGAGAATATTACTTTAGAAGTTAGCATGAGGAAATAACAGTAGTGCTTCGCAATATAGTCAAAAACACAAGCCATTTGAAACATTTCCCTTCTACTAAAACTGAGTAAAAACACAATTATGCTGTCTGAGATACTGTAAGCTCTCCAATGTACAAAAAAATTCAAAAATGATGGGAAAATAATGTAAAATAAATCAGTAAAACATAAAAACTGTTAGTAAAATTAATCATTGAGTATCTACAAACATAGTAACATGACTTAGAAAAATTATTTGTATGTATTCACATTAGGAACTACCAAAACTTTCTTGAAAGAAAGTCTTATTTGTGTTTCTAGGCCTGAAGATAATTTCACATTACTACATATAAGTCATACTTATGTATCATAGTCACACAATCAAAAGTAATTTTAGGAAGGCAGATGACTGTTCAAATTCTTTCTAGATACAATTTTCAAGTACCAGCTCTTCAACAGTATGTTCAACTGATAAAATTATTTTACAGGCATTTAAAATGCACCTGCAATCCTTCAGCCTTACAATTCAGCCTACCTTGAAAGAGGAATGGTCATTGTCTAACAGTGGTTTCTGTTTAAGAACAAAAACAAAGCAGAGAATATAGTCAATACCCACTCCTACCCTGCAAGCCAGGTGGAATTTACGTGGCAATCTGATACTTCTGTTTAAGAGACAGCATTTGAAAATTTGGCCTATTCAGAAAAGAAACATAATCAACCAAAAGATACTAAAAAGAAAGGTGGAGGACCCAAGACACTTGCAGCCTTCTCCATTCTTACACTTACTCTCACACTTCCACACCGAAGGGAAAAAACAAGCAAACTATGACAAATTATCTAAAAATATTTATTTTTGATCATATTAGGAATTAGTTAACATGGGTACATGAACATTTGAAGAAAAATTGCAGCAAAAGGAGTTTTGAGATGAGGGAGGTAAGTCCTTCATCTCCATGGCTCCTGAAAAAGAGAGAGAACACATTAAAAGTGTTGAAAATTTTTCTATTGTCCTAACTGTACCTCGTTGGGAAATACATGCAACTCTTACTGTTCTTCATACACTCATGATTTTGAGTATGTTGTTAAATATTCAGTTGATAGTATCTGAGCATAACAAGTGACACTCACATATATCAATGTATTTCATTCATCTGGCTCCAAACGCTACAAAACCCATATTTTCTTTAACACTTACAATTCTTTTTCCAACTTCTTTTATACCATTTTCCTGTTGGTTGATGCAGAAAGGTTTTGAAAACCTTTTCAATTACTGTCCTGTAGCAAAGAAAACTGAGCATTAGGGACAGGTACTACACACACTAGAGAGCAATATGATAAATTCAAAATAGTACTAGTGCAAATGAGAACACCCGCACAGTGACTCATCTGACCTCCCTGTTCAGGGATTCCCAGTTTTTTAAAATGTCATTTTAAGCTTCCCACCTCAAGCAATATGAAACCTTGTTTGAAGAAGTGTTTGGAACTGTTAGGTACCTGTTATTTTAATATTCAGTATCAAATGCTGCTAAAAAACAGCACATCTGCTAGGTTTCAATTACTTTTTTCTCAGTGGAAAACCTAGCATTTTTCTCCTCAAAATGTGCTATCTTCCAGTATTTATCTCTTACAAAGTGTTTTAAAAGCAGGTATACTCTAGGTATGATCCAAATCCTGTATCCTCTTACACTTCTGTGGACTCCACATGAGATAGACTACAAGTCATAAAACCTGTAACCTCCCTTTATCAACACAAAGATGGACTCACATTATGTCACATACAGCCAAATTCCACCCAGCCTCACTGCTTAATGCTTGTGAAAATGACAACCTTATGACAACCTTCATCTTATAATTACTAGCTCATTAGAATTTCAAATAGGTAACGCAAATCAGTTACTTACAAAGACGCTGTTCAGGAATTCTTCATCAAGTCTGATGTCTTTTGATCTCATCTTCTAAAATACAGTGTCTGGTGAAGATCAGAAAACTTTCTTCCTACACAGAAGTGCTGCAGATACCGGAAACTATCAAAGAAGTTGACGTGAGGGCTTTAAGACTTGTTTTGATGATTATTCCATTGTTTCCTGCAGATAAATCTCCATCATCAACTCCAGCATATTGAAATTAGAAAATGACTTTTGAACTCAGATGTCTTTTGTGAGCGGTTTCTTCGAACATAACATAACAGTTTAAGTTAATCCACTGTTTGGCATTCATTTATATATATTTGCTCTGCAATTTCATTGTTTCAGATGCCATTAGAATGTGCCACCTTTGAAACAATGGACAACAAGAATGAGATGAAGTGTGAATGCTTATTGCAGACAGAGCTAATAATATTTCTTTTGAATGCCATCAACTGATATTTTTCCATTCAAATGCAGTTAAGACTTGATGCCAGATAACAATAGCCTATGTTGATGATATCACAGTTATTTTTTATCTGAGAGGCAGCACTAGCATCTAAACTGCTCAAAGGAGGAAAACCCTACTATTTGATCCTTTAGCCCACACCAAAACTCAAAGATCAGCATTATCAGCATACAAAGGATTATGATTAATATTTGATTATGTATCAAATATATTAAAAATAAATAAAAAATCACAGCTCATAACTGGTGCTCTCATCAGTCAAAGTAGGGTTTTTTTGATACAGAAGAGTTTTTTTATTTATTATTGTATTTCACTAAGAAAATGTAGCCTGCAGTGTCTTCATTTTCTACTTTCTCTTAAATTCTTGAAATGTCTCCCAAGGATTTTCATATTAGCTTTTCATTTAAGAACTGTCTACTTAAGCTTTCACTGAAAATCCCAAATTGCTCACTAAATCAAATCCACTTCTTGGCAGTAAAAAGCTTAGCAGTATAAAACTTTTGAATCATACATCTATATGTTTACAGTATGTACTTGCTAAGAATCATATCATTTTAAAATTCACAAGTAGTTATTAGCAAGTACGTCAAAATAAAAACTGAGGATAGAGTCTTTCAAAAACAGGCTTTTCACAAGCCACATAAAATTTTTATGAAGTCAATTTTATTATCTTAAAATATTTTGAAAATTTAATGAAATCTATTTCTTGCAGTGATATAAGAATTACGATCAAAACAAATGCATAGGGAGCTTAATAACATTTCTATTATTTTCAAATCTTCAAATCATTTCTAGTATTTTCAAATCTTAATTCTAATTTGCACAAATATTTTGGATATTCTTCAGCATGAATGGGCTAACCACATATTATCTAGAATTATATTGTAAGTACTGCGTCAAAAAAGGCTCCTGCTGCAACTGTTAATCTGTCGTTGAAAACTTATGAGTCACATAAGAAAAAAATAATGCCTCTTTTCCCTCTCTGACATCTCATAAAATCCAGAAACTAATTTTACTATTAAAAACACAGCCCCTTCGAAACCACAATCTGAAACCGGGGGTTACTTCCCTGAGTCAGGCAGCTGCTGTAAGCAGAAAGCCAGTGGCACACACTGAGCATTCCTTCACTTTTAGTAATTTGTGCTATGAAACTGCAGTAAAACGGTAATATTACCCATGATGTATTGCTCTAAATTTTTTGCAACCTTAAGATTTTATTACCTTTCTCTTTAGTCACAAACGACATACAGTTGATACTCAATATAAAAATGCCACCTATGCTCTTCTGTTTTCCCAGCCTCCCATTGAACCAGAAGCCTCATCCAAACATAACAAAAAAACCAGTCAAACAGAATCCCAAAAGCCACTAGTTCTATCTCAATGTCTCCCTCACCTATGACCCAGAAAACTGCATTTTGCTTTACAGATAGCTACTATAACAATGTAAAGACCTTTATAAGCTGCCAAAACATACCAGTAGCAATGGGGTTTATTTGGCACATGTTCTGAATCAAGAATGGAAAATACCACTAGCTGTATTTCTGTTAGTGACCTGAAAGGAGGTCAGGAAGGAAGAGAAAAATAAGTAGAAGAAAATAAATAACCTGATTTTGTTTAATATTAAAAAGCAAAAGCTTCACTGCTGAGATGCACTGCCTACAACATAGCCTTCCTTTCAGGGACGCTGAGCTTTGTCAAAGAGCAGCACACAGACTGTTTTACCAGCTACCACCTAGGGGCCCAGAGAGGTTTAAAGCTCTTCCTTGGGCTAGACATCATGAAAACGTGTGAATGGCACAGTCCCTGCTCCGAGGAGCTCACAATCTAAGAAAGCAAAATGACATACAGGAGTATGGAAAAATACAACTAAACACAAACAAAGTTGTATACATATATATGCAGTTACATTTATAAAACTATTAAAATATCATCACTATGTCATCTACCTGTTCCTCTGCCTAGCCATTATTACTGAGATGACTGCTTAATAGGGATCACAGGGGGAGCGGGTCTTAAGGAGAGATTTCAGGGAAAAGGTAGTGGCCTTATGAATCAGTTCGGGGTCGGCACTCCATGCATACGGGACAGTGTGGAAGATGTTATATAAAAACTTAAAATTGTGCAGAGCAGCATTTCTCCAGGTCAAAAGTTCAAGTGTTGTGTGCAAGATCCCTACTTCCTGAGATAGAGACAGTGTGGTTACGTGAGTAACATTTGGCCATCAAAAAGACAAATGAAATCACTAACGTAGGACTACACTGAGGATGTGTTACTGGCCATGTACTCTCAGTGGCTGCCAGTTAGCACAGTAACTGTGAGGAGATGAAATGGAAGGGTTTGGAAAAGAGTTGGATAGAAAGAAGGAAAGAAAGGCAAAATGAAGGAAAGGAGACAAAAGGAAGGAATGTAGGGAATATTTTCAAATGTAGTCTTCTGCTTTAGTTCTTAGTGTGTTTGCAATTTGTTAACTAAGTAACTAAAAAACATATACAATAACTAATGTACGTTTGACACCATAAAATAAACTGGACCATATGCCAACATTTACATTATGTTATTATCCTCCACTATGGAAAGGTGAGAAACAGGTTAAACAAGAGACAAAATGCTTCCCCTTACCCTTCTTCTTCCGTACTGAAGCTTGGAAACAGAAAGGGAATGAACTGTGAATCAATTCTGAAGATAATTTTATATGCTAAATCCTTGTCTGTTACTCTGAGCATAAACATTTTTCTTCCATTTAAGACGTCAGCCTCTCTTTGCTAACCTATACTATGCATGTATCTATGAAAGCACCCTAGATAAACAGCTTGGCAAAAGCCCAGTTTATCAGGGTTTAGATTTGAGCTATAAGAAGTTGCTCCCCAGCATATGGCAGGGATAAATGCACAACTTTTCTCTAAATTGTTTTTAAGAAGTAGTAACTGGGGCAAATTATTGATACCAAAGCTTTAAAATTATAATAATAGGGCATTTTAATGCCTTTTCAGATTGAAACGGAAAGGAATCACTATCACATGTTCTCTGCCATCATTTGGATTAACTCAACTGAAAGAGAACAACTGAGATGGTCTGCTAAGTGTTATGGGGAACAGGGTAGCTCAAAACATGTCAGCAACACTGTAAGTTCAAAGCCAGGCAAAGGATATGACTGTGAAGACTGCAAGGTAAATAAATTTAAAAAATAATAATAAAAAAAAAAATCAGGTCATTTAGCCTAGCTAGGAAAACTGAAGAAAGAAACATATACTCTAAGGGAAAACAAAATGGGAATTCCTGTTTTCCTTCTTCTTATACTACATAACAAGGGACATTCAATAAAATTAAAGGCATCACATTCAAAACCAATAAAAAAGAACGTTTGTACACAGCACATAATCAGCCTGTGGAATTCTTTGCCACAAGACATTATTGAGACCATGAGCTTCTTCAGTTCGGAAAAAAGATTACACATATATTGATGAGAACATCCACAGTGTTCATCTGTTCATATTTTCTATTTAGTTTCTGTATATATGTATATTATGAAAAAAATGTTCATTACATTGTTTAATAGTCATAAAAATGTGGGTGTTCTCATAGTTCATACAGATGTCCAATATATACACATATACATATAAAGCTATGTAAATTATATATATACACACATACAATTTATGTTATACATCAGAAGACAATTTTTAATCAATGAGTGAAAATGTTTTCTTCTTGGTAATCAGTTTAATTATGTGCAATTCAAGAATTCTTTTTCTTTCTGCTAATAGTCCTTTTACAGGACAAATATCAAAATAGGTAGACCACAGATGTTGCTATTTATAACAGAAGCCATAGTCATAGTTTGCTAAGGTGGTAAATGTTTAGAGAATCATTTGGAACTGGTATTTACAGGCTTTTGGAAGAAAATAATCTGTTATGCTCCAGTATTACTACAGCTTTATTAGGGGACATACATTTCTGGAGCATGCTTCAGAAATAATCTTCAGAACAGTAAAGTCTTGCCATGGTAATATTTGCCCATCTAAATGATGATATAGATGGGAAATTCACTTAAAGACTCATATCCCATGGCTGCTAATCACAAGAGATGCAGTGATTTCTACAAGCCAAAGAGAACACGGCAGGCCAAGTACTATACTCTGAATTAGGGGACAAATAAGCTAAAATATAATGCTTTTCATTACAAGAGTGATGTTACTGTTAAGATGTGATTTTCCTCTAGAAAAGAGTACTGCTTCTCTCTGTTTTAGTAACAGTACCTACTATGTAAGACTGAAAAGTAAGAGAAATACAAAAATACTCTCAGTCTGAGAGTGATTTGGAGAAGGGAAAAAGGAAGGAGGAAAAATGATACCTAAATACTCCTGTCTCCTCAGGAAAGCTTATTGATAAGTCAGCAAAGTTACATAGCACTCCATGCAAGGAAAACAAATCAAAATACCTCAAACAAAAAATTGGCTCCAAAAATAATATTCTACATTTTAATCCTGGAAGAAAAATTAAGGAGCATTCACAAACTGCTGAAACCTTTACTCTGGTTCCTAAGGTCCTTAGCATAGACAAAACAAATTTTCTGAGATCTGTCAGGGATAAATTATCGGAACGTTAAATTTTGGTCTTCATTAGCTTGTTATGCCACAGAGAAGACCATAATCACTTCTGCAGCCTTTTGTTTGTCAGAGCTCCCACTGAAATCTTGTGTCTTCTGACTCCCTAATGAATAGGTGGGGTCCATCTGCCCCAGAAAAAATTGACTCATAGGGAAAAAAAGGTGTGGCCATTTATCCTCAATGCTTCGATTCTTTCATGTTTCCCTTCATGAGTCTATGACAAAAATAAAATTTTTTACAAAATGCAGGTAATTAAATGAGCATTACTGTGTGACAGACTGTATTACTCTGCATTGAGATACGCAGTGTTGCTTGCTAAACACACTATTCTGGTGAAAGAACAAAATATAAATATACACTGGACATTTGTCTTGTTATATACAGTCCATTCATATCATATTCTTTAGTCTACCTGTAAAAATTCTACTTTTTAATGACCTAATAGTTTAAATTCAGGACAAAAAGAACAATTACTTTCTACACTTCTATAAAACTAATCAAAATTCCCCAAGAATTATGTACATTTAGAATGTGAATGTTCAAGGAATCACTCATCACATTTCTTAAAACTAGTGAATAAAAGACTGAATGCCCAACACTTTATTATTACCAGTAGCAAGAAGAATTAAGCTTATTTCATGCAGAGAAGTCAAAGTGATATAATAATATGCACTTTTTCAGATTAGAGTCTAACGAAAACAAGTTGAAGTTGAAGCTGCTTTAACACTGTCAGCTTTTTAACAACAGCTTCTGGCAGCTTACCTTTATCCACTAATGAGAGGCCACAGAAATTTAAAATAAAACAATATTAGATGAACTGAAAATGTGGAAAGCAAAGCTAACAAAATAAGATACGGCATTATTCTTTAGTAAATGTGCCAAACTTCAATGATGCATAAAAATGTATCAACATTCTCTTGCATAGCAGTAAAGGCACAAGTTTAAAAAAAAATTATTCATGCAATTCATGCATATTTGAACTCTCCAAAGATGCAGCATTCTTACAACCCTTTCTGCTCTATATACTGTACACAGTGCAATTCTTATAAATCAATTTAACATACATACATACATATACATATATATATATTTACATTTCTTTATCCCAGCATGCTTGTCAAAAAACACTTTCTTACCAAGCTCTTCAAGCTCTGAGGTCATTGACTTAGACCGCAAGGTCAGTGCAGTGGTTGGAGCTCGCTTAGGAGGTGGTGGGGCTTTGCGTTAAACAGAATGATAGACAGTATAAGTAAATAAACCTCTCTAAACCACTATATTAACATACACAATTTCTGATTTATTTAAAATAATGTCACATTAAATAAGGTAATATTAAATACATACATGCAGAGAAAAAACCCTGAGATGCTTTTCATGTACTGGATTTCTGCACTGTTTCTACTTTTAGTGTAGGTTGTTTGACACATCCGTAAGCTTTTATGTAACAGGATACATAGAAACAGTTAAAGCTAAATAACTGTGCCCTTCTATTTTTTAGTAGGAAAAAGACTTTCTAGAGAAAGTGCCTCCCAGCACTTGTGCCCCTCCTTCTAAGAAATGTACACAACTAAAACTCTCCTAGAGACCAGCCAACCTCTGTCAGATTAATTTCAGAAATCTCAGAAACATAAGAAAGAAGATTCACATTTACATCTTTACAGTTACAGTGAGACAAGATGAAACAGGTGATTCTCGAGATAAAGAACACAAAGTAAAGCTTAAAATATCAAGGCAATCATTTAGCTCAGAACCAGCATCTGTTTTATTATCCTGATGATAAATCTTTTCTGCTAGCTTCAAATGTAGCCAAACCAGAAAACATATTGATATAATCCATTCCAGAGGTCAGAAAGGGGAGGTAACTTCAGAAAAGATTATGCCAATGTTGGTAGGAAAGCTGGAGTTGTCCAGTAAACAGAAATGGCAGTGGGACACCAGGCAAAACATCAAGGATTCGGAAGTATTAATAACATACACTATGCTACACTATTCTGACTAAAGAAGGCAAAGCAGTTTGAGGAGAAGAAGGCATGAGAGAGGGAAGTAGACAACTGTCTTCTCGTATCACCTATATACACTATATAAGCATCATCTTTCCCCTGTTAAGCTCTATCATCCTCTCACAGAGATTTGAACAAAAGTATGTCACGAGAGCATAAAAACATAGCTCAAGTTCAGTGCCAGACATACAGTACGTGCTACAAAAGTGCTACACATATTAAACCCAGTTTGAAGTCTGCTCTTTCCTGATGAGAAAAGAGACAACAAATTTTTGAGAGAAGCTGCACCATCAGCAACTCTGCAGACCACATCAGGCTGAGTGGTGCAGTTGATACAACAGAAGGAAGGGATGCCATCCAGAGGGACATGGACAGCTTGAGAAGTGGGCCTTCCAGTACTTAAAGGAGCTTATGAACAGAAGCAAGGCTGACTATTGACATTGTCTGATAACGATAGGATAAGAGGAGAGATTCAGATTACATACTAAGAGGAAATTCTTTAGTCAGAGGCAGTGAGGCACTGGCAACAGCTGCCCAGAGAAGTTGTGAGTGCCTACCCTGGAGGTATTCAAGGCCAGGTTGCATGGAGCCCTGGGCAGCCTAAGCTGGTGGGGGGCAGCTCGGAACACAACAGGGGAGTTGGAAATGGATGATCTTTAAGGTCCCTTCCAACTCAAGGCATTCTATGATTCTCTGATTCAAATATTTTCCCTGAGTAACTTTTACCTGAGCAAGTTAAGAAGCATCTAAGGTGAAAGAAATAGTGCAAAATTCAATTTTTTTTTCTTTCTTTCTTTCTTTCTTTTTTTTTTTTTTTTTTGGAGGGTGGGAGGAGGAGGGGGAAGTTAGAACATTACAATTCTTAACAGAGTAACTCAGTCTTTATACATTATCCCATAATCTCTACTAAAGACAGTGTTAAAAAAAAAATTACACTTTTAAACTGAGAAAAAACTTCCCCATATTTGTACCCAGACAACTGTTTTCCAAAGTCTTGCAGCACATGATGCTACATTAAACTTTCCTGGAGCCACTGCTTTCTTGTTAGCAACCAAGTGGCAGAAAAAGAACCCATGCATATTTTTGACTTAGAGGAAGAAGAGGGAATTCTCCCTGGCTGGGACAACCCCTCTACTTGAATTCACCTGGAATGATTTTCTGATTCTAATGTACTGTTTCTTTTATCAGAAATTCAATCAAAATATATTGCTTGCTTTTCTTAATCTTACAGTTTCTTTAAAAAAATTTGAAAACCTGTACATTCTCAGTAAGTTCAACAGGAGTCAAATTAACTTCAAGTATGTTTGGAATTAATTAATAAATGATAATCAGTTCTTTGTGAGTTTTCTCCATCGAGACACTCATGTCAAGAAGTTTGATTACACCTTCAACTGATAATATATGAAAGATCCACAAAGATGAAATTTCATGACAAGCCTGACAATGGAATGACCCTTCTTGTCACATGTGAATGCATAAGTAAACAGAATTCAATTACTCTAAAATAAATAGCAAAATAGCAAAAGAGCATTACAAATTGAAAAAGGGAAGTTTATAAATTAGATTTGTGCCCATAGCCTGTTCTCTGTAGAGCAAGACTGAAAAAAAATCCATTAGGAAAAGAGAAAAATGTACCTTTCTTTCTAGCTGTGTCATCTGGATCAAGATTCCTTGTTACTGTGACAACCTTTAGAACTAGGTGATTGCCCCCTTGTCGGATCATATTCACCACCTGCCTGTGGCCAACTTTCACAACATTCTCATTATTAACCTGCAAAGACAGAAAGCATTCGTTTAGATCAAAACGTCAAAAATGCCTGTTCCTTCAGTTTTTAAACCCGGAAAGTAGAAAGAACAGGAAGATTCAGAATGTCTAATTGCTGTCTTTTAATGAAAACATATATATAAGAAACCTCAAGTAGTTGGTGATAACAGGAAAAGAAATACGCATTTAATTTACTTATCAGTTAAAACAACGAAACACATAGTGAGTTTAACCAGATATTTCCCTTGACTTGTTTTATTTGCAACAATTGGTGTGCTACCATTCAGCATTTCATACACTAAAATATTTTCTTGAATGATAGTCATTATTCACCATGGATTAGGCACAAATGTTTACATGCATTTTTCTCTCTAACATAACAAAGGAGATATTTATAGTTTTTCCTTTCAGATCCTTTCCTTTCAGATCATCCAGGAGCCAAATTTTTCACTCCTGAAATGAAACTGCACGTTCAAGAGGGATTCTTTTATTTGAGACACTCCTTTCCTCTTTTTCCAGATTTTTCCTTCTGCACGTTTCTAGAAGGATCTGGTGTTTGGGAAGCATAGGCAACAGGACTATAGCATTCCAGAATAATTTTAATGGTAAAACATGAAACCCTGACCAACTATTATGGTCACACCAATTAAACTTAACCTGCATTCAACATTAAACTTTAAAAAATATAGTCCCTAGGTAATTCTTAGTACTACAGCATAATTTCTTTAATAAATTCATAAATTCTTTCCCTAGCAGTTATTCTTACACATACAAGAAAACACAGGCAGAAAAATCTGTAAATAAGTGTGGATAAAAGTAATTTCTTTATACAATCTAAAAGGAATTGGTGAAAGTTATTTGAAATCTGAACAGTCACAGCATATAATCACAGCCATGTGTTATTTGAACATAAAAGATATTAAGGAATAGAATCATTGAAGAAAAGATGCTGCCAGAATACATGCTGGGAATTTGAACTTTATCCAAAGCACAACTGACTCAGTTCTATTTCACCGAGATCACCCAGAGCATTCCAAAATGAACAGTCATTTTCAAAGTAAGTGTTTTTAGCTTCCTCTATTTATTCTGACAGGCTGAGCATCTCACACTCTAAAGAATTTACAGTTTAGAGCAAAATCTCTCATTAAATGTTATTGCCATTTAGCAGAACTACAAGCCCTGGTTTACAACTAGAAATCATTGTCTCATCCATGAAAATTTTCCAGGTTTTAGATGAGACAAGAATATTTACAACAAAATAATGTTTTGGTAAACAATATTTTCAAAAAATACAGCAGTCAAAAATCTCAACGCATTACTTGTGTGCTATGTCTGTAAGCCTGAGATGCCTCTTGAGATGCTTTTTTAATTTCAACTGAATTGACATAGGTGTAATGCCTGCAGAACATCCAGACCCGTTGAGCAGACAAATACAAAGTTCTCTCATTCTGTAGGTGGAAGATATAAAAGAATATTGATCTGAATCGAACTGTTGCTGTTTTATTTTACACCTTAGCATCTAGTGCTTAATTTCAAGATATGCTGTTTATTTAGCTGGACCAATGACATCTACATTTAATTTCTCTAAAACATTTTAGCAGGAATAGTTACCCTCCTACTTCTGAAATTCTTTCCAATATTTAAACCTAAACCAGCTAATTCTTTTCCACAATTAAAAGGTTTATGTAATTCAAAACTAGCGATTGCAACAACTTTATTACTACTGGAGTAAAAATTTAAATCCGTATGGATTAGAATATATCTCCTAACACTGTCAAAAAACAGACAACTCCAAATACATCAAAAGCTAATATTAATCAAACATGTACACTTCACTAATAAAAAGTGATGTGTAAAATGATAAACAGCTTATGCAGCACACCATCTGTTCACATCATTATGTGCAATGATATTTAACATTTAAAGCAAGAGCAAATATATAAGACATCTTTTTTAAAGCTGTCTCAGAAACAGAACCTCTAAAATGATTGCTTATAGTAGTTTTGTTTAAAAACTAGTACCAAGAAGATTCCTTTTACAACAATAAAAGTATTGATAGGAGATCTGAAGATCACTATGTTTAAAAGCTCAGTGGGTAAAACTAGCATCATTAAAAAGCAACAACAAAATCAAAATTGTCAACAGGAACTGGGATTTCAGTCACAGAGTCTTCTTGAATATATAAAAGCTAAGTGACAGTAGAAGTGGACACTAGATAATATCTAGTATCATACCAGAGTTCTAGTATGTTTGTTTGATGGTTTCAGTACATTTTCAGGTATA